TTCAAAGTATACACAACTGAATTCCAAAAAGATGGCATCATAACGGTTTCAGCTGCTCTCTTCCCCTTTGGGTCCTTCGCCCATTTAGAGGTGGTCCATTTCTCAGAAATAAACATCTTCCTCAAATTGGCTTTATTTCTGTGAATACTGGCTAGGGTTAAAAATGAAGTTGCGAAGCGAGTCACAGCCGGTCTTACCAATTCATGTTGGTTAGTAAATTCTCTCATCATGTTTAGCACGTACAAGTGGTTGTAAATAAAACCACTAAGTGCCACAGCCTTCCGAAGACATCTTTTCACCTGCTCAATCTTTCCAATATCCTCCAAAATTAAATCTAGACAATGAGCAGTGCATGGTGTCCAATATAGATGAGGTCGCTTGGCTTCTAAAAGTTTTCCAGCTAGGACATAGTTTGAGGCATTATCCATCACAACTTGGACAACGTTTTCTTCTCCAATCTTCTCCACCATTCTATCTAAGAGTTGAAAAATCTTTTCTCCAGTTTTGATGTATGAAGATGCATCGATGGATTCCATAAACAACGTTCCAATAGATGAATGAACTAAAAGTTGATTAGTGTCCTATCCCTCCTATCAGGCCACTCATCTGACATCAGCGAACAACCATTTCTCTTCCATTCTACCTCATGATCGCCCATAAGATTTTTTGTGTACTGTACTTCTTTTTTCAAGTACGTTACTCGAGCTTCATGGTAAAAAGGAGATATCAAACCAGGGCCAAATTGCCCCACAGCTTCTAGCATCACTTCAAAACTTCTCAAGCGAATAGTATTTAGAGGAATACCTGCTTGATATATCCAACGGATGATGAATTGCACTGTAGCATCTCTCCCCTCTTTATCATATTTTTCAGTAATAGTTGATTGCTTCAACCTCTTCAATCGATTTCTATCATCAACAACTTTTCCAGGATGTTGATAAACAAATTTATCTATTGGCCCCTTTGGTCGCGGTGGTTTTAACACTGATGGACTACAAGAGTTACTACTTCCACTTCCACTTCCACTTCCTCTCCCTCTCCCACCCATACTACTCACATTATCACCTGTGTTTATTCTTGTTCGCTTGTTCATTGGGGTTGATGTTGATCCTGATCCACTACCACTACCACCAACTACTTCCATTTCATCTTCATCATCTTCTTCAATCAAAGTTAAATCTTCATACGTTGGGAGGGCAGTACTCTCTTCCCTTCTTGCTTTTGTTCTTGTTTGATACTCCTTCAATTCTTCTCTCACATTAGTTGGGCATTTCAAACATGCCTTTACATTTCTATTTCCCCTAACCAAATGGTTTGTTGCTCGGCAAACTCCACCTTTGGTAATTTTTCCACAAAACACGCATTTTCACGTGTTTGTATCTTTTGGATCATCCAATATGATGTATTACCAACCGGGATGCTTGCATTTGTTTCTACCTTATTCCATCCTAATATAATTCAAATTTGGAAGATAAAAAAAAAATGTAAAGGAAAGACTAAAGAGCCGCTGTGAAGTGTGAAGAAAGCCAAAGATTTAGAAAACTTTTGTGTGAAATAAAAGAGAGGAAACGAAAAGGAGTAAATGAGATATAAGAAATTAA